CTATAGAACTTTGACATAAAATCAAAGATTATGCTCCAAATCACTTATTTTATATGTAATTAGTCTAGAATTGATAATACACATTCTGTACACCATTTATATACATCTATACAAGTTTAGAAACAATTCATGATATTTTCATTCAGTCAATCAGTAAATGTTCAATGTCAAGAGTGATTATATCCAAGTGTACGCTCTATCTCAGCGAAAGTACCTCCAACCGTCATGTAACTTTACCAGATACATTTAATCACGCTGATATACATCTGGAATCAATTTTAATGTTTTAGAATTGAATTCAGTATGATAATAATAACAATCTGTCAAATTGTCATATTTCAACACATTGAATATAATCCATCTCATTCATTTTACAAAATATCATACAAGTATCAAATATGAATACACTTCCCTAGATGAGGAGAACAATCTGAGAAAGTTTCAAATTGATGGCTCAATATCTTCAAGTCAACTAAGGAAAATCTAAGGTAATCAATAGGGAAGAATCTTAATTTCAAAATTAAATTTTACCATCATATCAAAATCATTGAATAATGAATTAATTATACAAGAATCATATATTCAATTATTATATTCATGTCAGTAATCAGTGAAGGTGACACTTCTTCAACCTTAGTATACACATCTCAATATCTAGACTGTCAATTCCACTGAAACTTGAAATACTACCTATCTAGATGATGGTATGACGACTCTTCATAGTAACATGTATGTGAAATTGAATGTTGACACTTTTCATCTCGTTATATTTATAGGGATGGTATCCAACAGAGTCTATTCACAATATCAAATATTGAAACTCATTCTTTATGGCATATGTGATGTCTAGAAGTGTTTTTGATGATATCAATCTAGTTTAAAGCACTTTGGCGGAGTTGACACTGTTTAGTTACAAATACATGACATTTGGACCATAGTTTACATTCCATCTCAGTCATTTCGACGAGTTATTGATCAGTTTCACCACCATTATGTTTCTAACACACTTTAGTACAATTTATGTTTCATTAATGATTTCTGTGAAAGTTATTATCCAAATACCATATATAGTAATATCAATAGTCGTTATATACTCAATTCAAGAGTTAATTTTATTTCTTCTTTTTTTCATATAGATTATTGAATATGGAACACATCTAGCCTATTTCCAGACTATAAAAGTCCAGATCCCAAATATGGCAAAATGAATTCTTGGCGAGAGGGCAAGTTTTTCTGACAAATTCCAAACTTTATTGATTATCTCAATAAATATAGAAAGTTACACCTTCCTGTTTTTACCACATGTAGATCAGTCTATTATACATCACATCGATAAGCTATAAGATCTGAGCCTGAGCATGTGCGGATCCCAAACCAGAGAGATAATGACAGGTACCAAAACCCAGTCTCCCAACAAACAACATCTTTACACCAGGTAATGGATGCCCTATAAAAGATTGCAAGGAAGAGGAGAACACTCAACACGCCATTTTCAACTGCAAGAAAACTGAATATCTTCGTGAAAGATTATGGAGAAGCCTAGAAGACAATTCC